GTAGGGACTCACATTCAAGTGTTACCAGTGCCCTGAGTGGGCAGGGCTGATGGACCCAGAGGTCCAGCTAAGGGAGCTGCCCACCCCAGCCTGGAGGGCCATGGGAAGGTTCTTTTCTGAGAGTAAAGGACACCCAAACGGAGACGGGAAAAATGATCAGGAATCAGGATAAGAGGGAGGTAGAGAAGGGTCTCATGTAGGAGGATGGGCAAGGCAAACCCCTGGAGAGGAAGGCAGGCATCAATAGTTCTGGTTGCTTCTGTATGGCCAGGTAATAGGAAAGGAGTTCTAACTTGAAGGTCATGATCGGGCTGCAAGGATTGGAAAACCTCACAAATCTTTATGCAAAATTCCACGTACACATCTATTTCCAAGGCAGACGTCCATGGCATTTAGATTCTAAAAGGGATTTGTGATTCCCCTAGAACAAACTAGTGATCTTAAGTTTGAAAGGGGAGTGGTAAAAGGTAATGCCAGTGAGGTCACCAGGGGCCAGGCATGTGGAGCCTGTAAGCCATATTAAGTAGCTTGAGCTCCTTTATCCTGTGGGGAGTGAGCAGGGGGGTATCAGGGTAAGGGACTGGAGGTCAGAGAGATCTGTGAGGAGGCTGATGCAGTAACCCCGATATTAAGGCCAAAGGCAGAGGAATAACTTCCCGTTTGCATTCTCAGGATAAGGGATCTGGAGGAAAGTGGCTCATTTGTCACTTGGGATAGATGGGGACTGACTACACTTACATATTGCCAGCAGAGGCCAGCAGAGGGCACTGTTGCCCAACACATGGACCTGCAGGGAAGGGGACTTCCCAGCCTAGAGGACCTGAGGCCCTCCCTAGGGAGAGGCCACTCTAGGATTCCCTTTAGCCCAACTAGCCATCAACCTTGGCTCCACCTCATGTTCAGATGCCTTGCATCTGACCTCAAAAGTAGTCAACCTTCCTCCTCCCTGTTTTGTAGCCTGTGTTCCCTTCACAAGGCTCTGAGACAGTTCCTGTGAGGGAGGAGATGGAGCTGAACTGGCTGCTCCTGTGCCCCAGCCTTGTCCCTCACAAGGGGCCAGGAGTACAGCATGCCTAAGGGGATTGAAGAAATGACTCAAGTTGCTGGGGAAGGAGGATAGGCTGTGGGGATGCAATCAGAAAGTCCTTTTTTTTTTTTTTTTTTTGGGGGGGGAAAAGGGGGGGGTTCGTTTTGGGAAAAAAATGAGCTCTTAAAAAAATCTTTGGTATAAAGTTTCATAGCGCTTAAAACTCTACAAACTACTATGCAAAGAACGTTCTGGAAGGACTTCTAGTGTCTGTTTACTCTCTTCACAGTAACCCGTGTCCCCTGCATCGGCAGGCGGACTCCCAACCACTGCGCCACCAGGGAAGCCCCAGAAAGTCTTTTGTAGCAGCTCATTCCTCTTTAAAAGATTTCCCTTCTCCACGAAGGCCTCACCTCACCACCCCCCTCCACCCCAAGCTCTCACAGCTGACCTTGGCGCTGTCACCATTCCATGACAGGTCCGTGTTACCTCTGGACTGAGAGCCCCATGAGGGCAGGGTCCAGGACTGCCTTGGTCATGCTGTGTCCTCAGCACTGTCCAGAGTGGGTGTGGGTAAGGAACAGAGCAAGTACCTAACACTGGCTGGATAAAGCAGCTCCTGGCATCCCCACTAGCCTGGATCCAGGAGCACGGTCAAGAACCATCCTAAGTCCAACACAGAGGCCAGGCCTAATGTGGATGGGCAGTCACACCAAGGGATGACCCCAACAGTCCAGCCCTAGTTTCCAACCATCACCCTACCTTGCTCTCTGCCTAGGGACTTGTTCCATCCTTTTCTACTCACAAATTCTGGGAGGGATTCGGGACTGTGGGTGAACTGGAAAGGGCAGAGACCAGAAAACCGCATTAAAAATGAACTAGTGGGTTTTAAACTGAGGGCCCCAGGTTTAAGGGGGCATCCCCAGCACCAAAAATGGGGACAGGCACACAAATCCCACAATAAGTGTTTAATGAGTGAGTAAATAATGTCCCCTTGAAAAGGCCCCCGCCCCAATTAAAGGCCAACTGCAGTAACACTTCAGGGTTGAAACCTTGCTTCCTTCCTACTAGGAGGTGCCATGTCATTTATTGAAACAAAACAAAAACAAAACAAAACAGGGCAAACACATTTCTTAATAAGTGCAGTTTGTTAAAGTCCTATTAAAACATATGGGTCAAGGGGAAGTAAAAATAATCAGAGGATCACTGTAGGAAAAACCTTTAGGTCTGGCACCTGGGAGACCTTTGGAGAGGAGGCAGTGGGAGAAACTTCATGTTCTGAAAGGAAGGAGCCCCCCAACTCCCTTCTTCCCTCTCACCCGATTAATCCCACCAGAAACTACCAAGACGCCCGGAATAAAATGTTTCAAGTTCAATAGTCACACTCTCTCCAAATACAAAAGGCAGGTACAATTCAACTCAACACAGAAGCTTGTGTGCAAAGTTACCGGAAACTGAGACATTGTATAAAAAGTTAGGTTAAAGATGATTCTGTGGTTTTGTTTTGTGTGTGTTTTGTTTTGAGGGTGTGGCTCTTCCTCGGTCACCTGAACTCAGCAAAGAAATGGTTATCCTGATGAAATATCAACAGCCGACCCACAGTAAAAAGGGACAAATTCTAAAAATTAAAAAAAAAAAAGCATAATTACCAAAAAAATATCTGTCACTTCTTCCTCCCTCTGCATTTTAAACTTGTGTGTGTTTTTAAGTTTTTGATTTTTTTTTTTTTTTTTAAATCCTGAAAAGTAGACAGTAAAACAGCTCCTGGAAGAATTTGCAACCAACTGCATGAGAATCTAGGAAGCTGAGGGGCTGGAGCAGGGCTGGGACCAGAGGACAGGAAGGGGCCCTCCCCACAGCCCTGTAGCCTCCCTGTACGACCAAGGCGGGGGGGGGTCTTTAGTCAAAAAGGAGGAAGGGAGGAAGAGGAAGAGGAGGGGGGGGGGGGGACAAACAAAATAAATGGTCATTGTTGCCTGTTTGAATCCGGAGGAAAATGCCTGGCCCTGTGTGGGGGAAGAGCCCCTTGGAGGAGAGGCAGCCCTGGGAGGACCCGTCCCCCAGCACCACGTGACCCGGTGGGGGTGGACAAGGGGGGCCAAGGTGGGCGCTGGTGGAGGAAGCCGGCAGGGGCCTCCAGGACACACTGGCTACTGTGTGCTTGTGCCCCCCTGTGTGTTCCCGGAGTAGCTCCCGTAGTCATAGTTCCCGTAGTACGGTGGCCACTGGCCCTGGTTCTGATAGTACTGGTTCCACTGCTGGGCATACTGGGGAGAGAGAAACCAAGAGCACCAGGTTGTCGTTCATCCAGACCCACATCTGGCTTCTCCCCTGACCCCACCCTCACCCATGGTGGAGATGGGTACGGTGATGACAGTCAACACATAGGTCTGACAGAGAAATCAAGGTACCTTGGGAGGATAAGTGAATGACCTAATGTCACATGGGTGGGCAGTTAGAGACTGAAGCCCAGGTCTCCCGGCTTGCCAACCTAATGCCCTTTCAGGTATAGCTAGATCCCATGTTCAAAATACTCAAAAGCAGGTATGGGGCCTAGCATCAACCAATCAGAATGGACACTGGCCATGGTGCTGAATCAGGGTTTGAGGCCCCCTGCTAAGCCCTCTGCTTGCTGCACTGGGGAGAGGAACTAGGATGGCAGCTACTTAGCAGCCAGTGTAGAAGCGTTCAACGAGCGGCATGGCTACACTGTACTAGATGGACACCGGCCCAAGGCCAGGGAGCTGCCCATCTTTTCAGGGATAAGCAGGGACACAGGTCTGGGAATACACACCCCTGTGGGGCCCCTAGAAGTCTCCCCATTCTCCCCCCTCTGCTTGTGGCACTTACCTGTTGGTACTGGTTATAGCTGGGCTGAGGGTAGGTCTGTGCAGTAGGGGGCGGCGGAGGGGTGTAAGGGGCTGGGTTGTAGCCGCCGTAGCTCCCATAGTTGTAGGCAGGTGGTGGCGGAGGTGGAGGTGGTGGAGCTGTGTAGCCCTGGCTGTAACCTCCCTGGTTGTAGGGAGGTGGCTGGCTGTAACTCGGCTGGGAAGTGGAGGGAAAAAAACAGGTCTCTGTGAAATAGCCAGCTCAGCTGGGATGGAGGAAGGGCCTTTGAAAGCAGTGGGTCCACAAGGGAACTTCCCTGGTGGATGCTGTTTCAGGGCTGAGAAGGAGGTGGGTCAGCTCTGTGACATGGCAGG